GAAGCGACACTCCACGGTGGTGATATATGGAAGACAAAGAAATATCAGAGGTATCAGCATCCTGATTGTTGTACCCATTTTGAATTTATCTGAAAAATATAAATGTTTTACCGACGGATAGACACAGTATGACTTTCAGATACTTTTAATTTAGAATCGATGATAGACAATAAGTTTTTCTAAGAGTAAAAAAAGTTGGCAAATACGTTGTAGAGTTGAGGAACATTTTTTTATTTGGAAAATTTTAATTAGTAAAAAAGTTTTCTTTGTTAGGTATGAAAAAAATAGTGTTTTTTGGTTCTTAAGATTATTTTCCGTGCCGATAGGAAAGAAATTATAAATTTTTATAACGTTAACTCAAAGTGACAACTATTAAAAATGTAATTATGAATTGACAATTCTAATAATATATGTCTTCATAAAATATTACAATTAAAACATTTAATTATTGCATTTATTCTACTATTTTCGTGGTTGTTTCAGTATTAAATAAGCAGAAATTTTTATTTATGTGTAGAGGAATATGTAGATGATTTTTTTTAAGTATGAATGCAGATACTTAAAAAAAAAAACATGTTTTTTTTTTTCAATTACATCCATGATTATAGATATCTTAATAGACATATTAAAAATTTAAGACGATGATAATTACCGTTGATAGATTGAAGTGTACAACAAAGGAATTTAGCTTATAAAAAACGTAAAAAAAAATAAATTTCATTGCCCAAGCTTCTATCACAACAATAAATATATCTGATAAGTAAAAAACAAAGTAATTAGCGGTGAATTATTTGATAAAATAGACTGTAATTAATGTCGATTGATATATTTTGTGATAAGAAAAGTTAAGTAGAATATCGCGATATTAATAGATGAATTCATATAAAATGTATAAAAAACATAATTAGCGGTTCCAAAATTATTGATTGTCAAAACTTATGATCACTTAATTTCGCAGTAATTTATTTATAATATTTGTCGCAGTTATTCATTTATAATATTTAATGCTTAAATCAATCATTCATGTATCGCTTACATCCCGACTAGAAAAAAAGTTATAAGACCTATGGAATCCAATTGGGTGCCCAATATGTTTCTCGATATATTCCCTATAGGGAACCCAACATTGGGATGTAACGCAAAACCCAACATGGTCCCAATTGGATAATCCATATTGGGTCCCTATTGGGTAATCCCTATTAGGTCCCAATCAGGTACACCCAACTGTATCTCAACTAGACATATCCTATAAGTTTCAAATTGAGCAAATCCTGCAGAAGCTTTATCCAATAAAATCCTAACATACAATATATTTAGTAAAGTCAATTTTTTATTGAAATTTTTTTTATTCCGTCACGATTTTTGGCTGTTTATTTATTTTTCGTAGTTCATATTCGCTTCAACCACGAGCCTCTCTCAACGCAAACTTCACAGCGTTTCATATCTCCAGCTTATCAATAGCTTGAATGGAACTTGAGTGGAATATGCATATGCGGCATTCTACGTCAATCAGACAGTTTGAAAAATTTTTGTTATTGATTTTTTAACTATTCACTCTTTTCAATATCCACCGAAAAACTCTTCCTAAAATTTGTGTTAATCAATTAATAAATTGTTAAAATTGATTATAATAAAATATATATTTGATATTAAAGATAAGCGCCTTTCTTAAATTCAAATTTTTGTCTATCATCTAGTGAAAAGAACTATCGAATTATCTTATTCATTATTTTTTCGATAAGTTCTTTACTTGCGAACAGTAGATTTTCATGTTTATCACCGATAAACAGATTACGCCCTATTGGGATTTATTGTGTAACACCCAAACAAACGCACAATTAATTTTTCTCTGATATGAAAAGTTACTTAGGGGAACCTGGGGCATGACGGCCCCCCTCAAAAATTAGGTAAAAATTTTTTTTTTCAATTTTCCTCAAGTTATGACCTCTATCATGTTTTTATGATATTTTGAGCAAATAAGTGATATGTGGGGCATAATGGACCACTCATGAAAAAAATTGTAACGAAAAAAAATTTTTTTTTTTTAAATTGTGATAAATTTGTGGTAAAATGAATTAAAAAAAATTTAATTGAACTAAAAAATTTAACAAAAAATTGAATTATACCGGGGAGAGAGGTACACGACGGTCTGTGGTATAACGGCCCCTCTCATAAAGTAGGTAAAAATTTTTTTTTCCATTTTTTGTCAAGTTATGGCCTCTATGATGTTTTTATGATATTTCGGGCCAATATGTAATATATGGGGTATAATGGACCACTCGAAAAAAATGACAAATTTAAAGAATTCATTATTTTAGGCCTTTTCAGGTCAATGAATTCGAATGAATTTAATTAAACTGAAAAATTTAATGAAAAGTTGAATTATATGGCTTATAAAAAATTGAAAACAGAGTTTTTTGAAATTAAAACAGTAATAATTATATTATTAATTATTGATCACGGTATCCTCTGCACCAGACAGAAACCTAATCTCAAAGTTTTATTTGAATTTCTCCAAGGATGTCTTACTCTACACAATTCATATTTCTAATTTTGACATGATAAAAATATAAAAAAAAGGTCTGGTTCAAGATATTACGTATTTAAAGCTCAATCTGAAAACTCAACCTGTGATTTCAATCAATGTAAACTTATGTTACCAATTCATTGCTAAAAAACATCTATGTATTTTTTCTTGTACGTAGGTTTAAAACCTCTGAGTGCAATAAAAGAAATTAATTCTATTGCACGCCTCATAGCGCGAAGCGCGTGAGGTTGTGCTTTATACTCGACTCGTCAAGGTCAAGCAATTTTGTGATCTTTAAATGTCTCTATCACAACCATATTACATTTATACAATAATATAAGTAGATGTACACCGAGAAAACACTTAAATTGAACCATCTTTTATTTTCTAAAATCATTTCATGTAGCTATTTTGATAAAAAAAAATGTTTTAAAAAAGTTTTTACGTGGATGTCCGGATGTCACCCCATTTTGGATGTACTAACGATTACTCCCGAACAAATTGATATTTCAAGATCGGACCTTTTTTATTAGTTTAAGAATTCGATGAACTGGGTCCGTATTTCATATCAGTAGCTTAGTTTACGTATTTTTTTTTTAATTGAATTTTTATTAAAATTCACTACGATACAACCGTGCAAGGACAAACGAATTTTTCTTATTTGTCACGTGAAAACTATGGCGCCACTTGATCAAGCTAGATTTTTTTAAATTGCGTGCGCATATGACAAGAAAAAAGGGCGCTGATATTTAAAAAAAAAAATACTCTGTAAGAAATTACTTAATTATAATTTCTTTTTTTTAATCAATTACACAATTTATTTTTTCTTAAAAAATGAATGAGCGTTATGAGGCGTGCACTTTTGGATTTTCCAAACTTTTTTTAATTATTATCTATTTAAAACTAATTAACAGCTTAACAATAAAATTTGTCATAATTTTTTAAGACGTTAACAAAAATTACACTTTGAATAAACCATGAAATATAAATGTTCGATGATAAGGAAATCACATCGCGATAATTTAAGGAATATACAATTATTTGCAATGATCACAAATATATTCTTCAGAATAATCTTCGCCAATTCCTTCGCGAGAATCATAAGACCATTTATTACAATTTTTACATTGAATCCATGACTCTGAGGACTCTGAGGAAAGTCCATTGCAATACAGACAATGGCAATCGCCATTTTTATATTTAAAATGTTTTTTTTTTTCAAATTTTTTGGTTTTGATCTTATTTTTTGTATTCTTATTTTTTTATTTAATTGAGGTCGTTTTTTTTTCTTCATGTTGATTTTTTTTCTGTGAGTTCTCGGCGATACTCAAGACTTGTAAGAATCGCGGTTTTCCCTCGGCGACGTTATCCGGGAGGAGAATTTCTAGATTTTGATGGTAATAGCTTTAGTAAAAAAAATTTTTTTTTTATATGATTTTTTTGGGAGGGGGCCGTCGTGCCCCAGAAAAAAAAAAATTTTTTCCGAGTTTTTGCAAAATTTCGACTGATTCGTTCGAAATAGATGGAAAATAAAGGAATTTAATAGTTGAAAGCCACAAAAAAGAAAAATCGGCTTAAGGGGGCCGTCGTGCCCCAGGCTCCCCTATTAATGAACCAAATTATTAGAAAAATATTGACTTATTTTTTGTTGTGAAACAAAAGCACCTTCATTTGATGCCAATTAATATTTGTCGATTGTGATAAAAGAATAAGTCACTCTTTGTAGTTGAGCTTGGTAACTAATTTGACAACTTTTCTTGAGTATAGAAGCCATAAACAGAGTTATCAGCTGCCTCGAGTTATATAATGTTGCAATAATTGTCTCATAACTTATGTATGAAAATTGAAAACAAAATCACCTTAAATATTTTGAATTTTAATAAATCTAATAAACTTATAAATATTCTTCATTTTCATATATTAAAAATATTAACCCTTCATTTTAAAATTACCACATTGCTTCTTAATCTATAACAATATATATAATATATTACATCAATAAAAATATATAACAATAATAACAATAACAATAAACTTCTACTAAAGAGTAAAAACAAAGTGATCAACGTTAATTGTTTTAAACAGTCAGTAATTAATGTACATTACTCTATTCTGTGATAAGAGTCTATAATATCAATTTTAATAGCCGTAATTGTACGAAGAAGCATTAAAAATATAATTGCGATCCCAAAAAATATCATTAAATAATAATGATTATTAAATTTCGCAATTATCTTTGTCGTAACCATTAAAGTCTCCACTGTTGTCACTATTAAATGATAGCTTTGCAGTGTTCATTTGCATAATTTAATGCTCAAATCAATCATTCTGTTATCATTCATGTCTGTTAAGCAAATAGCTCCATCATTTTCACTTAATAATACCAGAAAAAAAAACAATTTCCAACGCAGATCAATATCGCATTATGTTTTTCATGAAAGCATTAAGAAATAAATTCAGTAACTGTTAAGCAATGGATATTCTCACAAAAAACATTGTTAAAGCAAAAAAGTCTAATTGGCAACTGTTCACAGCTACCAATTACACATCTTTGATGTACCCGATTTTCATGCTGTGCAAAATAAACGGTTTATTCCCGTACCAAGTGACAAAGATAGAATCAATGGCAATCACGAATTCGAGAGTTACATACATTTATTCAGCAATTGTCTTTGCAACTTATATAGTGATTTTTGCGTTGATAATCTACTATATAAATGTATCTGGCGCAATAAAATTCGCCCGGGTACCAGCATTTTTGCAGGCTCACTGTTATCTCAGCTTAGGCTGTTTTATGTTTGTGGTTTCACTCGTTCAAAGCAATTCTCGGGTAATATTCTACCAGAAATTCAACGCAGTAACTCTCGAAATTCCGCCGACAAAATTGTCGAAATTATCCAAAATCATCCATACTATTGAGCTGATTGGCGTTGGATTTCTACTTTTACAATTTCCGAGTGTTTATTCAGAAAACTACAAAATATTTCTGTTTCGTGCACTCGCGATGCATACGACTTTCATTATTTACTGCATCGATAAGATTTATATTAATCATGCAAGTTTGATTGGCGTTTGTTTCGCGACAATAAACGAAAATTTGTACAAGCTGAAAAACAATTTGCGAATCAATGAACGTCATTTATTAAGGCGTAACTATCACAAAAAATGGAATCCGTTGTTGATAATAAATATCCAACAAATTATCAAGCAGCATAATAATGTCAGTAAGCTAACTGTCGAAATGAATGAGAAATTTGGATTACAAATGATTGCTAGTGTTACCTTGACATTCATTGAAATAACGTTTTCGTTGTACTTTTATATTCTGAGAGCACTTGGTGTCAGTGGTGTGAACATCGAAACTCAAATTTGGTTTTCGTATTTTGTTACTTCGATGAGCTACTATACGATCAAGTTGTTGTTAATGGTTATCATGTGCGAGGAGTGCAGGAAGCAATCTCGGAAAACAGGGATCATTGTACATGAGATTCTCAATGAAACCAAAGATAGAGAGATCAATGATGAGGTATATTAGTGGAATAAAATTAATTGGAAATTATAAGTTCACTTTTGCATGCCTCAGAAAGATTTTACAGATTCAGTTTTTCTGTGATAATAAAAGATCTCGAATTAGATAAATAAAAACATCAAACTGGCTAAAAATTCAAAATGGTCGTTTAATTTTATAGTTGCAGATATTCTCACTCCAACTTTTGCATCACGACACTACATTTACGGTGAAAGGATTAAAAATAGATGCGACTCTTCTCACATCCGTGAGTAAATTTTATTTTTGTATGTGAAAAAATTTTATAATTCTGTGAAATATTTCAATCCACTATGAGTGATGTGGGGCAAGTATGCGCACTAAGCATTCAAACTAGTGTCAAAATTAAAAGATAAGCATGTAAAAAAAATAAAAATATGTCTCTGATAGAGTATTTTTTGAGGTAATAATTAAATGGAGAAATAAAGTCTAAAACAACACTTCGAAAAAAAAAAACGAATTAATACGAATGATTCAAAATGCGCACACTTACCCTGTACTAGGAGTAAACGTGCGCAATCATGTGGAGTAAATTTGCGCAACTAAAAGAAATTCCTGGATTTTCAATGCCCTAAGCAGACTGATTTTGATAATATTTATATAACCTTATTGAGACATAACATAACTTCAAATGTTATGCTAAATAAAAAGCTCAAATACATGATTGACAGAAAAAAAATTAATTTGCTTTAGTTACAGCGTGACAATTTTTGCCATGACGGCAAATTTTACTTTCATGGCACCAGATTCTTAATATTTTCTTTTTTAAATAAACCAATGATACACGGAGAAAATTAAATGATTGGAGTTATCATACTAAAGTTGTAGCTGCAATCATCTAGGACGATTAAAAATTTTTTCAGTGTAAAGATGATTAGTGTTACAATTTTTTATGATTGCAGTTACCATTTTTTATAGTAACAGTTACCATCAGGATTATAACAGTAACCATTAAGATGATTACAGCTACCATTAGGATGATAATAGTAACCATTAGGATGATTACAGCTACTATCAGGATGGTTATATTTACCATCAGAATGATAATGTTTACTATCAAGAATAGTGATAAATAAATTAAATTCTATGAAAAAAATTAGGAATACGGTTGACCCTAAAGGCCATCCCTGCATCTTCCCGCTGATTCCGTTAATACCTGGCCGCTATTATTGAGCTCTTTGAGCTCAAAAATACGACCTGTGTGTTGTTTTGAGCTCTCCGAGCTCGAAAAGTTACCTTTTCTATGCTTTTGAGCTCTTTGAGTCTGATAGAAGTTTCATAGAACACTATTTTTTGAATTTTCAAACCGCAATAACTCTTGAATGAATGAACCGATTTTGACCGGATTGGCGGCGATTGACGTGGTTTTTCGAGGTTGAGAGTTAGTTTTTGGAATCGATCGGTAGAGCCGTTTGAAAGTTATCCCAAAATAACGACTGCTGAAAAAAAATTTTTCCTATTTTTTTTTGAGATTTCTTCAAATTTCTCAAAATCTATCGGTCCGAATCGGTTCAAAGTGACAGGAAATCTAAGTTTAGCGAAGCCCTTTCGAATGACACCCACACATACATTCATACATACATACACACACACACACACACACACACACACACACACACACACACACACACACACACACACACACACACACACACACACACACACACGACATAGTGACAGCCACTCGCGGGATAGTCAGGAAGCTTCCTGTGACGTCAACGTCGAGACCTGATGTTCAAACGTCGAGATCTGATGAAAACTCGATTTTTGCAAAACGGGGTGAAAACAATAACTTCCCGATTTTTGAAAATCTTCGAATTTCTTAGCGGGAAGTTAAAAAAGTTTGCTCGCCTAATTAATGACAAATTTGATTTATGAATAGAAAATACTCAAATATAAATATTTTTAAGAAAAAATACTTGAAATTAAGGTTTAAAAGTTATAAAAAATGCAGGAATACTAAAAAAAAATCAGGTATAAAAATTTGGCAGTTAATGTGTTTTAAAATTGGTCAGCCGGGCAGTTAACACTGCCCATTTTTTAAAAAAGAAATTTTTCTCTCTCAGTGAATACAATAATTATGATTATCGACTATTCAGATTTGTTTTTATTAAATAAAATTATTTATTTTTTCAGTTTGCCGGAGGAATAACAACATATTTTCTTATCCTCATACAATTCCTCATGTCATCTAAATCATGCGCTGAAGTAGTTGATGAGAGCACTGGATAAATAATTGATAAGTAAAAATTCTAACAAGGAATTTAATTTTAAATGTTACCTAATTATTAAAATAATAACTAGTAATATAATAAAATAAAATTATATGTGATTATATCTAATCATAATATGTCTTGAAAAAACAAAAATATAAAGCAATGATCAACGGTCGATAATGCTTAGAAGAAGGTTTTATATTTATCCGTTGATTACAAATACACTGCTATGATAATGACAGTAAATATAAAAGAGAAAGAACACAAGTAAAGATGTAAACAGTTTGATCGCAATGACGCTGTTAGTTTAATCTCGGCACCAGCCAACATCTGACGTTCTTTTTTATAAAACGTCATACTCTACGTAGTTATTACGTTTATCATGCGAGTGATTAGACTATATACATTACGCGCTCTCAGTGTAAGATAAAAATACGGGCGGAATCATCGATCGTGATCGCACGTTTTATTACCCAGTTACAGACGGTTGAATTACTATTGTTATTATTTTTATGCTTCACTCACGATATTGCGAACTGTGTTTCACGCATTTTATATCATACACACACACACACACACACACCCAAGCTATAATACAGAAAGATAATCAGTTAGCAACGGATTTAGATGCGTGTGAATGTTTACTTGCGTCACATTCTCAAGTCAAAGTCACTAGTGGTGGCCCGTTATTTTAACTCATCGCCTACTTTTTAATACTTTTAATGTCTCGCAGTAACCTGATTCGCGTTCGTTGTCTCACTGTGTTGTGATTAGCTCTTTGTATTGTTAATTCAAATTTTACGACTTAAAGTCCAATGTTGCATAATAAACCACTTGCATTATCGGATTTATTGTTTACAAATAAAGTATTTTTTTTATTGACCCAAGGTATAATTTTTTTAAGTAAAAAAGTTTTGTGTTAGTGGAACGACATGATGAAAACTTTAAAAAAAAGTTTTTTAAACACATCAATTGTGTTAATTTGCTATGGATATTTATGCAAAATCATAAATTATGACTAAAGAAATGCAAATTGCAATAATGAATTTTATCGATAGGTCGTGAGGTAAGTTGCTTGATACACTTTATTTCTATATAATCATAAAGCTTTTTTTTTTTTATTTTTAAAGTGCGAAAAATATTTTTTTTCTCTACAGAAAAAAAATTGACTTTATTCAAGAGAAAAATTTTTCAACCGAAAAAAAAATCATAAAGAATTTTATTGCCTTGAATTAGGACGAAAAATTCTTGTAAAGTAAAATTTATTTTTTTTTTAATTTTTCAACTCAAGAATTTTCGTTACAAAACAATTTTTCTGGTTCAAAAATTTTTGTCTTGGATCAAGTTTATTTTTTTCAGTGTACAAAAACTGAGATTTTTTGTTGACTTAGAATATATTTTTATATCTTAATAGATAATGTATATTGTAATAACTAATATTTACTGAAAGTAAATAATGCAAGTAATTTAAATATATGGATAACGTTTGCCTTGACAATGCTTATTGACTATGCTGATAAATGATAAACTTTAAACATAAGGAATTTTGCAAAAAATTAATAGTAAAAACAATAATAATAATAAAAATAATAATAATTAATAGTTAATTTACAGTAGGCGTATATCCAAGAATTATTATCATTGCCAAGAGATGTTGACGCAGTTTATTGTTGACCGCTATGATCAAGTTCATTTTAATTCTGCATTTGTTTTTTCTTTATTATCTATTCCTTGTTTTTTTTTGTTTATTTTTTTTATTATAAAAAATAGTTATTTGCAAAATAATCTTTTATTGTCGATCGTAATTATATTAACTTTAATGGAGGCGCTAAGAGGTGGGAGAAAATGACGATGTATTATTATCGCGAATGTACACATGTGCGATGAGTATTTTTAATTCTTTAAATTTTTAAACGAAAAAATAACTCAAGTTTATTGAATGCATCAGCTTATCAGCAAATGATTCATTTCACTGATATCGGGTGTCAAACTTCCCACTTGACTTAGTTTCCTGTGATACGCCCTGATGGTACCAGCAACGTGATTTCAAAATTCAAAACATACGAACAGCAATGTATAGAAAATATCATTATCTACGCAGTTCAAAATGTTAAAAAATAGAGTTATAGTTATTTATTAACATCATTCAACTTAACAAGTCAAATTTACAAAATGAATTAGTATTAAAAAATCAAATATTTTTGAAATAGATACCAATCAAAATGATACGTCATGTAGCACTCATTTTGTTATTGACTGTGATAATACCATGTGCCCGTGCATCGAATCAATGTCTTACATCACAAAAAGGTACTTAAAAAATTTTATTACAGTATACGAATAAAAAAAATGTTATTAAAATAACAGAAGATGGAATAAGTGAAAAATATGATGTAGTAATAATTAAGTATACTTATATCAACAAATTTATTAGTTTCCTTAACAAAATTAGTCAAGTTGTAATAACAAACCAGTTTGTTATGTAATAAAATTAATTTGCTATCCTACTCTCTAAATCTGAAACAGTGGAAATCACTGGAAAATAGTGTATGTACACTAATTTCACAGCTATAAATATACCACTTGGTATACTCATAGCTGCGAAACAGTGAATGGTCACTGTTTCAGATTTAGAGACAAACAAAATGATATTGTTAGGACAATAAAATAATTTTGTAACCGTTACTCTGTATATTTTGTTGTAGTAACAAAATCATTTTGTTGCTGTAACAAAGTAATTTTGTTGCCAACTATAGTCGTAAAATTCTGAGCTTTTCTCCAAAATTCCCGCACGGAAAAATATGTATGTGAAAAATAGATGTGACATATACAATATATATGTGCGCAAAAAAAAAATATGTTAAATATATTTTCAGATATATGTCAACAAACATTTTTATATATATGCCAATATATATTTCAAATATATCTAAATATAAAAGTTACATATATTTCCGTATGTATGTTAACATATATACATAGATATATACTAATATACATGCTGAAATCTATATGATATACATATATATATATATATATATATATATATAATTGACATATATGTGTGCACATTTATGAGCATTGTGAATTTTTTTGCGCTATTTCTTTTACAATGATTAGAATTTCAAATTAAAAAAAAATTAAATTAAATAATTTCAGAAAAATTATCGAAGATGTATTTGAAATATATTTAAGTATATATGCAGACATATATCTCAACATATATGTGCACATATAATTTTACGCAAAAATAAAATATGTTCAAATATATACGACATATATTTTTATATATTTTCACATCTATATTGACATATATTTTTCACATACATATTTTTCGTGCGGGTTATCAATAAAGTTATGATTTATAATTTTTTTATTATCATAATAATTGAAAAATCCTGGATATGGTTCACTCTACCGGCTACCCCTGGAACTTCTTGTTATATTCAAATTTAAAACGCTCAAAAACTTTTCTTTTGCAAATTTTGTAGCTCCTAAGGTAGTTGGGTCGTGCAAGGCATACTTCAAGAAAATTATGAAATTTTTTTTATCGAAAGGTAAATATATTAATAATTCACCACCAAAATTTCCGATCAATTCACCACACCGTTTTTGAGTAATTAATTTTCGAAATTTCATCTTTTACACGTAGAGGTACACGGAAAGAAAATTGTACGAAAAATTACGATGGAGACATCGTAATTTTTAGTATAGAACATTGTAGTGCCGGACCAGAACTCAAACATTTTAATTTATACTATGCAACATCGTAAATTTCTATCACTCAAATTAATAAGTTTAGGTCACCGAAAAAATAATTCTGTATCACCGAGGATATCGGACCCGGTGTCCTCTCCACCAGAAGCCCAAAATTTATCCCCTTACGCCATCAGAGGGAATATGTATACTTTTTGTTCAGTCACATAATAAGACCCTCCATACAGAAGTTGGTCATCTTTCAGTGGTGGCGTCGCAAACTATTGGACTCTGTCGCTCATTTATTAAAACATATAGTATGCGTCCTTATTCACTTGCTCTTACGGAAAAAAAATTTACTAAATAACATCGCAATTTTCAATAACTCAAATTGTATTCTGTAAACGGCCGCATCGTAAAAATCAACATACTGAAAGTCTAGTCCTGGATTACGATGTTACCATTGTAATTTTTCATAGGATTTTTTTTCCGTGTATAGAAAGATGGTAAAGTTATTATGAAATCTATTTGCATCACTCTAGTGGTACGGAAGATTTCATACTAACTTTACCATCTTTCTATACCTCTACGTGTAAAAGATGCAATTTCGAAAATTAATTATTCAAAAACACTGTGGTGAATTAATCTGAAATTTTGATGGTGAATTATTAATATATTTCTTTATCTTTCGATAAAAAAAATGTCACAATTTTCTTAAAATATGCCTTGCACGACCCAAGTACCTTAAGCTCAAAATACAAGTTGAAAATTTTGCTAACAAAATTATTAGTTATTTGAACAGAATAATGTAACTATTTCAACAACATTTGTTATACCAATTGACTAGTTTATGTTGGGCCAGCAAAAAATTTTTGTTATCCTTGCATAACATTCTTGTTATTTCAACAAATCGATTTGTTCATTCAACTAAAAGATTTTGTTAAATTATCTAAAAGATTCTGCTATAATAACAAACCTATGATAACATATAAATTACTTATTATAGTCTAGGCTTAACCGTAACTGTCAATTAAAAAGGCTATTTCTACTAAAAATTGTTTCTTTGTCAATAACAGAAGTAAGTCCAAAGCGCTTCATTCATTTGGATGGACAATCCCTTGAACTTTCATTCGAATTAACTCGGCGGCCAACTCAACGGCTAGCCACAAGAATTATGAAGATATTTCTGATTGAGATACTTGGCTATCCGGGTGTCAAATTGATTGAGAAGGACGACTGGTTTGATGCAGTAACTGTATTTTCCAGAATGTCAGAGACATTGTCTTACAACGACCAAAGAGTGTGAGTAAATACTTGATTTTTTTTATAGAATCCGTTGAGTCAACAGTTTAAATCACTCGTATATGAGTAAGTTTTATTATTTTTAATTCTGCTTTCAGTCTGATTTAATTTAAGATTTGCAATTTTTTATGATATTAAAAATTAATTGCACGCCTCATAAGCGAAGCGTTGAGGTTGTGCTCTACTCTCGACATTTCGAAAAAAGCTGTTTTCTCGAAACTGAAATTGATTTTTTGTTATTTATATCGCACTTACAGGTTAAAATGAGTACACTTATGTCAAGTCAAATAATTTTTCAAGTACATAAAATATATTTCAATAACAATTTTTTTGTTTAACATAATAAATAATAACATTAAACATAATCTTTTTTGGACGTCCGTGGATGAATGGGTGTATGTGGCAGAGAAATTGGTCGAAAAAATGATCGTACCGGAATAATTTTTTTTGAATTATCTAAAGTAACACACGACAGAATTTCTTAGTTAATATGAGCGTTCAATTCACTGTCATTAAGTTATTATTTATAAAAAACTAATATATGACTGTGGATATTTTTGTATTTCTATCTAGACATTTTATTTTAGTATTTTTTTTCCTCACCTTGCAGTTATGGCGCCACTAAACCATAGCAGTGTTTTCTGTTTTTATATTTTATTTTAATCAATTTTATTCTAAAAAATGAGATTATGAGGCGTGCACTTTTGGATTTTCCAAACTTTTTACTTTTAGTTACACTAGAAATTTGAATAGCGCGCTACGCGCGCGCCTAAATTTTAACCAATAATGAATCGTGGCCCGTTTTTTGCGAGTTTCGACCTTTGACTAACTTCAAGACTTTTGTTTTCTGTTTTTTATTATTTTGCTTTTTATATTTTATTTTAATCAATTTTATTTTAAAAAATGAGATTATGAGGCGTGCACTTTTGGATTTTCCAAACTTTTTATTAATTTTTTTTGATTGAAATTCAATAAAAAATTTTATCTACTAATAGAAATATTTATTTAGCCACTAGTGAATAAAATTCATTTTTGTTCAATTAATTATTCATAAGTTTATGTATGAAGAAATATTTATTAACAGTCAATAAATCATTTTCTTAAATGCCAATTGATATCCAGTTTGTTTTAATATTTGGTTGATTTTTTTGGTAGCATAAATAATTATAACTTCAATTTTAGGCTATTCATTCAGACCAAATAGTAAAAATTATAAAACTCAAAAAATTTGGAAAAAATAAAGCAACAGTGTTTAAAAATTGGTGCATTATTTTTACTCCACTAATCAAAAGTGGTAATTATAATTTGGATCTTAAAAATACATAACATTTTATGAAATTAAATTTTCAGCAGTCATACAGTTTTCATCATTAATCTGTCAAAGTAAAAGAAATTGAGACAACAAAGTTTATTACTAAAGTCATTTTCTAATCTCAATGAAATTTTGACATTACACCGAATTAAAAAACAAGTATCTAAATATAACTTCCCAATTTTTTAAAGGTTCTAATTATCGGAGCAGGAAGTTGAAAAATTTCTTAAAAATGCTGTCTGTCAAAAAACAATTATAGTTGAGAAATATGAAATTTAATGATAAAAATTAATACTTGTAAGTATTAATTTTATAAGATGTATATGTCGATCAAAAATGTACTAAACAAATTTTCCTGGCAAAACTGCTGTCATGGTGTGATTGAGTTTATCTCAGAACTCACAAAAAAATTATTAAAAGCAAAATTTTGAAATAAATAAATTCGTCAAAGAGAATCTAAAACCTCAAAAATTTAGTATGTTAAACTATTACCTCAAATATCTCTTGAAGAATTCAATTAATTGCAAAATGATGAGAGACCTTTTTTATTGAACCCTAAATTTCTTATGAAAATGGGTTTTAGTTTTACTTATACTCTGATAAGCCATCAGGTCATTAAGAATTTCCCAAATTTCAAAAAATAATAGTTTTTATCTTATTTAAATGGAAAGTAGAAATCTGAATTCAGCGACCTCTAAATAACAAATTATTAATATTAATGACTTCGCTGTTAACAGGCATCTCTTTTCATTCTTACAGATATTAAATATCAATTCGAAAAATAACAATCTTAATTAATAGTGTTCCAGAAACGATGGTAAACATGGAAGCATGGATACCACCTCAAGAGGACACCACGCAAATCTTAAACCGCTATGACGTCAAAGAATGTGGCTCTATAGCAACTCCTGGCAGATTCAGCTGGTACATTCCGGTAGAGCTCAGTGACCCAGATGACAACTGGCGAACGTTTGCTTACCCAAAAACAGCGTCTCGTTTCGACCTGAACGACACTATTTTGACACTGATTCAAAATTTGACCCAAGCACCCAACGGGCGTTATTACTGCCAAGAAGCATTTTGCAACAAAGGAATGTACATTCCGGCTCACTGTCAGAAGCAAGATATCCACGACTTAAACTCATCTTGTGCTCTCCTCCTAGCATCCGAATCAGACGTCACTTATTTCATCAAAGACCACATAGATATCTTGAACCTGTACGTGAAAGTCGCCTGGGTCGGTCCTCATTTAAGGAACTTTACTCGATTTCTAACCAAGGAATATCTTGGAACGTACAATACCAATCCTCAATCATTCGCGATCTTGCACTGGACACCAAGCGATGTGATTCCCAATGAGCGGGACTTCATAGCGGTAGAATTTCCTGGATGTGGTAGCAGAGGCTTGAACATTGGTTGCGTTTACGAGTCAAATCGACTGGTTAAGCTAGCTTGGTCTAAACTGGAGTCAATTGCGAAATTCGCTTGGGAAGCGATCAATCGTGCGCAGTTCAATGTCGATATGTATGAAGATTTGATTGATCTTTACAATCGTTTGATTGATTTTAATGTCACTGAAGATGCCATTGCGTGTGATTGGTTGAGAGATAATTTGAACTACACACTACGTCACTGGATGCCAAGCAATGATGACAAGAATGTTCTGTATATTGGTGGAATATTTCCCATGTCTGGGACACCTTACACCACCAAATCTATCGTAGTCGCAGCACTCATGGCCAAACAAGCTATCAACCTCGATAATACCATACTACGGGATTATGACATCACGCTTTTAGCAAGCGACGGACAGTGCAAGTCAGATATGGTTATGAAGTCCTTTATTGATTACATCGTCCATAACTATTACAAGAAGCTGATTGGCGTATTGGGTCCAGCTTGTTCGGAAACTATCGAACCACTGATTGGAATTTCACGGCACTACAAAACGATGATCATCAGCTACAGCGCTGAAGGTTCTACTTTCAATGATCGAAGCAGATATCCGTATTTCTTCCGCACGATTGGGGAAAACAAGCAGTACCGACATGTCTACTTGCAGTTCTTTCAACACTTTGCCTGGAAACGGGTCGCAGCGCTGACGGAGGATGGGCAAAAATACACGGAGTATATTTCGTATTTGCAAGAAACTTTAAGAGATCATGAGATTAATTTTGTTGCTAATGTTAAATTTCCAAGGGAGCGAGAGAGACATGAGATGACTGAGGTTAATATTTAGTTTTGTTAAGGTTGATTGTGATGTGATAAGAGTTATCTTTATTGATTATAATACACCATTACTTTTACAGTATCTTGAGGATTTAAAACAAATACGGGCGAAAATAATTATTGCTGATGTTTACGACACAATAGCACGACAAGTCATGTGCGAGGCTTATAAGCTGAAAATGACGGCGTATGATGTAAGTTTTTTAATTAGGTGATAAATGTGTTTAATAAATTAGAACTGTCGGCACTTTGACGGAGTGTTTGCTTGATAAACTACTTTTTAGAGGTTGTTCAAGCAAATAGAGTTATTATGAGTTTAATTGGTGAAATACATAAAAATAAATTTTTAGATTCGTATGTTAGATTTTTAGTAGAAAAAATTCAAGTTTTTAATTTTTTATAGAAATAATAAGAGGGAAGTTATTTTTGTAATTCGACAGTATATGAAATATAGAAAAATTCTCTAACAAAAGTATTTTTGTAGAAAATGAAACTCGAAAATTATATTCTGTAGAAAATTAAGTCGGTCGAAAGTTATTCCAAGTCAAAGTTAAATTTACCGTAAATTTGGCAGGTTTTTTACTTTTAGAGTGAAACTATTTGTTAAATCAAAGGAATGTCATATAATTTCATTTAATGCATAAAATTTACTTCAAAAGTTGTTAATCGAAAGTTTTTATGCCATTAGAAGAAAAAATATTTAAACACCTTTTAGTAGAAGTTATATTCAAAATTAGAATTCCTGTATTTTTCATTTATTGATAAAATCGATTTTGTGTTTTTGTAAAGTGAATTATTTATTGACAGCGCTGGATTTTTTAAATACAATTTTGTTTATTAAATTTATTTATTACTTAATTGATTGCAAATTAAGCTAAGAATAATCGAAGATAAGTTACCAACAAGTTTTTATAGTCGTTTATTTATTTTTGATGACTGGAAATAGTAATGACAAGTTTTATTTTATGAGAAAGTTATCGTAAAATTTTATGTCGACAGTAAAACACAACTGCCAGCGGTCACGTAAGTGGCGTTATATGTAATATAATTTTTTATTTTGACATTGTTTTTAGCAATATACACGTCAATTAAGATATCGTATTAAACAAAAATTGATTTCTTAGTTGATTACACTAAAAAAATTATGACAAGAAAAACTCCTTAGAAAAGTCAAAAAAATAAATTTTATTGTAGCATCTAATACTTTAAATTAGACTTTTTTTTAAGAGGACGATTTAAGGGCTGATATGGACATATCAAGTCACATCACAATATATTAAGCTATATCATCTAGATGTATCATGATATGTGCATATCAGGACGAATAAAAAATAGATGGACATACCAGAACATATCAAAATTTTTTACGGGTAATTAAAAGTGCACGGAAAAAAAGTTTTAGGAAAAATTGCAATTTTCACATTGTGATCTAAGACCAATATCAACCAGACTTTCGATATCTTCACTTCCATAATTTTACGTACTAAAATTCACAATCTTACATCGTAAAAATTCGTACATTGACAACTTATATACGAATTCTTAGGATGTAACATCGTAATTTTTAAATGTAAAATTATGAAAGTGAAGATATCGAAAGTTTGGTCCTGGATTATGATGTGAGAATTGAAAACAACTACTTGATTTTTCTCTAAAAAATCTTTTTCTCCAAAAGTATAACGTTTAGTCTAATAATAAAAATTTTTTTCCAGGGTTATGTATGGTTCCTACCATTATGGCTTCAAGAAGATTGGTACGACACCGACAAACACAACCAAAATGGTGAAGACATCCTATGCTCGACATCAGAAATGAACGAAGCGATAAATGGGCATCTCAGCGTTTCATACTTATACTTCGCGAATGATAATACTGTCATGCAAGAAGGCATAAAAGTACGCGAATGGCGAGATAAATATGAAGCATCATGTCGTAGTCGAAAACTATCTCCATCACCCTACGCCGGATACGCTTACGACGCCATGTGGACTTACGCTTACGCGATAGATAATTTGCTTAAAGAGAACCAAAGTTACATCGCCGATTTGCATTCTGACCAAACCGTAAATCGGATGACAGATATTATTGCGTCGATCGATTTTGAAGGCGTTTCGGGCCGGATAAAATTCTACGGTGGGCCATCTAGAGCACCAATCATCACGATTATCCAGCATATAGACAAGGAAATCAAAACTGTTGGAAACTTTTTCCCAAACGTTTCAGAAACCAAAGGTGAAGTTATTGGCGGCCAATTGGTTCTCAATGAATCTGCAATTGTGTGGCTGAGTTCGCAAGTGCCGAATGATGGATCTGAACCACCTGCCAGATGCATCCTAGCTGGCCTAGCAGAATTGTTGGACGTTAGTTGCGAGGTCGCGATTGTCATTGCCAATGTCATTGGGCTGAGTCTCTTGGGTGCTGTTTTGATCACTGGTTTTGTGATCGTCAAGAAAAAATACGATGAGAAGGTTCGACTCCAGGAGAAAGTTCTTGAGTCCTTTGGTCTAGACCCACGGCAAGCAACTTTGGACCTAGATAAATGGGAGATACCACGTGAAAGAGTTGTCATTAATCGTAAGATAGGTGAGGGTGCTTTTGGGACGGTTTACGGAGGAGAGACCTTCTTTCCAGAAAAGGGTTGGTTGGCTGTTGCCGTCAAAACGCTCAAGTCAGGCAGCACTACAGAACAGAAATTAGACTTCTTGAGCGAAGTTGAAGTCATGAAACGTTTTGAGCATAAAAACATCATCAAGCTACTGGGGGTTTGCATAAAAATAACACCTGTGTTGACAGTCATGGAGTTTATGCTCTATGGTGATCTGAAGACTTACTTACTCGCCAGAAGACATCTGGTCAATGATTCACACTATGAAGACACTGATGAAATATCTAATAAGAAACTCACTGCGATGGCGCTAGATGTCGCTCGCGCTCTGAGTTATTTAGCGCAGTTAAAGTATGTTCACAGGTAGGTTGTTTTTGTTGGTTTGAAATTCAGTGTTTGGTGATTGATTGTATTTTGATCGTTGTTTCAGAGATGTCGCATCACGTAATTGCCTGGTTAATGCTCAGAGAGTTGTTAAGCTCGGTGATTTTGGAATGACGAGACCGATGTATGAAAACGATTATTACAAATTCAGTCGTAAAGGTGAGATATCCTTCAAATAATAAATTTTTGACTTTATTATTATTAAATGTATTGTACGACTCACAATGCGAAACATTTGAAAGCGCTTTATGATTAGAAACATTTTTGCATACCTCCTAACGCGAAGCCATTGATTGATGCCTCTATCATAACCATATTGCACTTATACAATAACTAGCTGTTACCCACCCGCTTCGCTGGGCGCTTTATAGAATTGCATTTTTAGATCTAGACTTGAAATTTAATTAGAGTATTGTTTTGATTCAACTTTAGTGAAAGAAAGCCTATTTCGCTTATATATATTACACTCACGCATCTGCCCACGCATCCGCCCACGCGTTGGTACATGGAACTAAATTCTCAAAAAAAAAAAAATCGTAATACTCTTCATGCCGATAAAAAAACAAATGAATTAAAGAAAAATGCTCGTCTTTTGTTTTTATCAGCGGGAAAAAATGTTTATCAAAGTTAAATAGAAATAAAATGGTGAAGGATTGATGGAATTCGAAAAATAAGTATCCTATAACCATCTACAATTCATTCCGCGTCGAATGGTCCTAGTCCCATGTCAATACGTTCAGTAGTTTTTGCGTGATTGACGGTCTACGAAACCCACTTTCATTATATATA